AAAGAAGTCTCTTCTGCTCATCAAGGCTGCATTTATTTGATCCAAAGTACAGCAAAAACAGTAAAATGTTGAAATATTTTTACTATTTAAAATTGCTTTCTATTTGAATAGATTTTAAAATGTAATTTATTCCTGTGATCATACATAGGTAAATTTTCAGCATCATTACTCCAGTCTTCAGTGTCACATGATCTTCAGAAATCATTCTAATATGCTGATTTGCTGATTATCAATATTTAAAAAGTTGAGTACATTTTTTTTCAGGATTCTTTGATGAATAGAAAGATCCAAAGATCAGCATTTATCTGAAATAAAAAGCTTTTGTAACATTATACACTATTCCATTCAGTATAATTTTTATTATTTTTTTGGGAAATAAATTATAGAAATTAATACTTTTATTTAGCAAGGATGCTTAAAATTGATCAAAAGTGATGATAAAGGCATTTATAATGTTACAAAAGATTTCTATTTCAGATAAATAGTGTTCATATCGATATCGGAATTATATCGTATCGACCGAAATTAAGAAATATATCGTGATATCAATTTTGGCCATATCGTCCAGCCCTACGCTCAACTTTAGTTTTGGGTGCATAGATCGATCAGTAACATTACTTTCAGATAAAAGATCCGCACTCGCTGTATCTTCTTAATGACAAGCCTTCTTCAGTGAATCATACCATATGATTCACTGAAGAAGGCTTGTTGCCAAAACGTTTGATTGTCCATTGCTTTGTTGCAATATAAAAACTTAATTACAAGTCATTAAGATCAATTAAGATCAATATTCATATAATAAAAATGTTTTTCATGGTGAGACATAAAATAAATGCAAACTAAAACTCTATTGGCTATGCAAGTAAAGGACACTTTAGCAGCTGATGAACAAAACATTTTTAAAAGAAAATAACTTTCTGTTTTTAGTAAACGATGCATTTGTGGGGAACCCTTTGCAAGTTTACATTTTCATGTTCATTTTTTGTGGTAAAGTTTGTTAATTGCATACAAAAAAACAAAACCTTTTGTACATACTGTACATTTTGTATGGGCTTACAGGAAGGGTTTGTGCGGGTGGATCATGACTACGTACTCAAGTCTGCAGAACTTGCCAAAGCAGGAGGCTGCTCACATTTTCACCTCGAATCCTCCAAAGGTGCAGACAAAACCAGCAGCTTTCTCTACCTGAAAACTAAGGTATTATAAAACCCTGTTAAAATGATATGGCTTATTTGATTTACAGAGCAAAGAAGCTTGTATTTTCATGTCATTCAAGCCAATCTTTGTCCAATCCAACACTGGTGTATTTACAGGGACAGGTTGAAGCCGAAATTGAAGACCTTGGGTTTGAGCGTTTCTCCGTCTATCGACCAGCGTGAGTCCTGCTGCTTTTTTTGTTCTAAAAATACTGAATCAAGGAATAAAATCTGTTGTGATTTCTTATATTTCTGACTCTGTGTATAGTCTGAGGTCATACATCTTTGTGTTGTGCATGTCTGCTTTTTCAGTTATTTCTAAATCATCATTTCATGTGATTGTGTGATTGTTTTTTTTTTTGTTTTTTTTCTAGGGTGCTCTTAGTGGACAGAGAGGAGAGCAGGCCAGCTGAATGGGTGGCCCAGCAATTTCTTGGTGCATTCTCCTCTGTTTTCCCTACAATGTCTATTTCCATCACAACAGTGGCCAGAGCTATGGTTGTCAACACGCTTAAAGATGGAGAAAAGAAAGTGGAAATTCTTGAAAACAAGGCCATATGCAATTTTGGAAAAATTGGAGCCAAAAAATAAGACTTTTATTTTCAATTTTTTTTTACTTAAGTGCAATTCTGGCGTGGTGTGATTCTTCAGCAGGATAATCCAAAATTATACTGCAGTTTACTTGGAAGCAATTATCATATTAAGTATTTTAAAAACATATTCAAAATATAGTACTGCTTGACGCTAATTTAGTATGTGCTGTGTTTCTGTATGCGTTATTTTTGGGTTTTGGTGCTTTTTTGTTATGTAATTTTATATTGCTCAGGAAAAATAAATTATATTCATAGTTGACAACAACTATTGTGTATATAGTAATATTATTTTGTGTGTAATATCTGAAAAGTGGATTAAAACAGTCACCTCTTTTGCCACAACTGAAAGACAAAAGCATTTATTTTCTGTAATAAACTTACGACACATTATAACGCACAGAAGCTGTTCAGCAGCTATACAGTTCAACTGCATTCAGAATATTAATTTCTGAACTTGGCAGCTGCTATATAATATGTTATGTTCAAACTTTATGATTCTGTAATGCTTTTAACCGTGCATCGGGAGATTTTACATGTGTGCTTGACTCTTGCTTTCTTTCTTATCTAACTTATCCTTTAAAAAATTCAATTAAAATTTAGCTTTGTAAATAAATTCCACACAGAAAAGTGACAATACTAATTCACACTAGCCATACAATATATATATATAGTATTACTGTAAGCCTTACAATAATATAGTGAGTCCAAAGTCTTGACTATAGTAGGTAGGCCTAGTGCGTTATTCTAGAATTACATAAACGACTTTTTTTGTTTTGTTAAGATGCACAAATACAATATACACAAAGGAAACAAAAATAAACTCTGAGGTATTTTATTAACGGCATAAGGCTCACGGTTACTGCGATTAATAAAGAAACAGCGACCTCACATGGCGACAAAAGCGAAGTACACCAAAATAAGAATGACCCGGATGAGAAAAACGCGAGCTCAAGACAAGAGACTACAACATGGCAGCGTACGCAGGTACACGTGAATGTATTAAATGTGATGCACATATTTGCTTTAACCTATGATGCGATTTAAACTGCGTTATTCTAGCGAGTTGGATAGTGTATTTTAATCTTACTGCAGTTAGGCATTTTCAAATGGCACAATTAATGGTATAACTGTTATTTCTGTCAATAGTTCTCACCAGTTGTTTAGAAGGTGTTTATTAGTTATGGATTTTGTCATTGTATCTTGTGATGTAGGAGGGGACGATGTACCCGAGCTGTCTGACAGTGATGATGAACAATGGCAGTCGATGGAGGAGGGATCTGAACACATAACAGTCCCGTGTTTACTCTGTGACAGGTGTAACATTCAGTGGAAATCATTCATGGTGATGCTCCCTAAAAGAAAACTGAAAGATAATTTACTGGAGACAGAACGTTTTATTGTCAGAAACCTCCAAATATGACAATAGACAGCAATATATTTTCATGTTTGCATACCCATATGTGAGAAAATGTAGCATGTTATTTACAAACTTAAATAATTTGCTCTTATGTTGGCTTTTTATAGCCAGAGGAAACTATTAAAATATATGAAATTATATGCACTTTGGCTGTCTTATTATCTTTTTCTACACACTATTAGTGTAATGTGAGATGTATAACCTCAAGAGAAACATTTTAACATTTCAATTTAAGTTAGATTAAATGCAACAATAGTGCGGTGAAGCTAGAAGAAGAAAAATGCAGAGAAATGCATCACAAATACAAACTCTTTTTGAACTCTTGGATGTCACAAGGATGGATATATGAGCCAATGCTATTTTAGTTTTGTTTTTATACTATCACAGATGTGTTCATGTATATTTTTAGTTGTTTAATTTGTAGTATATTTTTTATTACAGTTTTAGTTTTTATTTCCACTTAGTAATTTCAGTGCTTCAACTTAAACATGTTTTAATTAGTTGCCAATGCACTATTTCTTCAACAATGTTTTTGTTGGGTTATTTAAAGGGGTCATATGATGCGATTTCAATTTTTCCTTTCTCTTTGAAGTGTTACAAGCTCTTGGTGCATAAAGAAGATCTGTAAAGTTGCAAAGACTAAAGTCTCAAATCCAAAGAGATATTCTTTATAAAAGTTAAGAGTCAGCCACGCCTACCTAAAACGGCTCGTTCTAACACGCCCCCACATATCTACGTTGCTATGTGGGAAGATTTGCATAACAATATTTTATATTTTATATTTTTAAGAATGCAGTCTTCAGTGTCACATCCTTCAAAAATCATTCTAATATGCTGTTAATGCCTTGAATTTAATGCGAGCAGCTACTGGTAGCCAGTGCAAATTGATGAACAGAGGTGTGACATGCGTTCTTTTCGGCTCATTAAAGATTAATCTTGCAGCGGCATTTTGGATTAATTGTAGAGGTTTGATAGAAGTGGCTGGAAGACCTGCCAAGAGAGCATTGCAATAGTTTCAATATTATATTGAATTATATATATTATTATATTCAATATTTACTTAAGTATTTTTATTTTATTTCAGTTTTATTTCCATTAACAAGAAATCTTTTAATCGTTTTAAACTTAAACTATTTTATACTTTTAGTTTACAGTAAATAACCCTGATCTGAACTTCGATTATTTATTTAAAAGTAGCAAGGCTTTGATTTTGTGTGTCAGAACAGGAAACTATGACTCGCAAAACTAAAAGCCTTAATTTGTACATGAGCAGATCAGGAGTCTAGGTGTATCTGTACTTCTTTTTTTCCAAATCTGTGTTCTGAAAAAAGTGGAAAAACCTCAGAATTTGAATTTTTGGTTGAACCGACCCTTTAAGAACAAAGGGTTTGTTTTGCACTCAAGTATATGTCTCACTTTAAACAGGACTCTCACCTCTGTGTCTGAAACGGTACAACACTGTAAGGCAGACCATGGTGTGGATATTCCAGATCTTGTCCAAAAACACAGTAAGTTTTCCAAACAAGGACTGCTCAGTGTGTTGAGTGATACCTGATGTCTCGAAATACAAATCTGGTTTCATTTCTCTTTAGGGCTTGATGACTATGGCTACATAAAGATGATAAACTACATTAGAACTACAGTAAGTATCCTTTTAACACACACAGTTCAAGTGTATATTTGCGATAAGATGACTTGATGCCTGACTAATCTGTATACATTTGTAGAAAGTCTCTGCAGAGAGTTTGCTACTGACTTCAAATGGTCCATTGCCATGGGACAGTGATGAATATATGAAACCAGCTTTACCAGATGACCCATTATTGCAGATAGGTATGAGAATCATTGTTTTTGGTCTCATTTATAAGGACAAATTCCTGCCGTTTTCTATTTTACATGATCCATAGTCACATGATCCTTCAGAAATCATTCTAATATGCTGGCTGGTTTTTCTTATTGTGGTCAATTATTGTGCTGCTGAAATTCTGTGTGTAAACAGTGATTGCTTTTTTTTTTTCAGGATTATTTGAAAAATAGAAAATTCACGACAAAATATATTTGAAATCGAAATCTTTTCTAACATTGTAAATGTTTTACTGTCACTTTTGATCAATTTAATGCATCATTGCGGAATAGGTTTATTTAAAAAACGTACTGACTTTTGAATGTGGTAATCTTTCTTACATGTTTGAAACACTTTTGTGCTACTGGCTTACATTTTGTCAGATGTTGAAGAGTTGAGCGAGGCCACAGCTGTGACGTTGAGCCCTGCGGCTGGTGATCAGGTGTCTCTTCTGCTTCAGAGAGCCAGACAGGCTGAAGACAGAGCTCAGAGAGCTGAGGAAGCTCTGGCCCGGGCCATGGATGATCTGCACAAACTCAAGTCAGTATAACCTCAGCCTCACTCTTCATATGCATTGAATCACTGTGGTTCAGCTTTTTAGTGCTTTTTTTTTCTCAAAGTATAAGCAAATAAGCATTATTCAACTTGTTGAATAATATTTATGCAACCGTAGTCTCTTTTGTTCAATCACTCATCTTTAGTTTGATTGCAATAATAACACAATGTTGCTTATGCCACCTTAAACATGCCTTACCTGATAGTATGAAGTTCAAAAACGCGTCATCCAGCCGACTTTTGACAGTTCCAGGGCTTTTGAGAAAACTTCAGATTTTTGTATTCCTAATCGTAGATAGTCGGATTGAACCCAGTGCATTATGGGTGTCGAAGTTTTCCTTTTTTTGCCACAGCACTTTTTTTCCCCCGTTTTCTTGAGTCATGTATTACAAATTTTAAAAATGTCTTTTCCTGCATAGACAGACAGTTTTTATTAAAACCCCATATTTCCAGCAGTGAATTACCCTAAAGGAATTTGTCATCATTATGCCAGAACACAAAAGAAGATTTTTAGATTATTTTTTTTTTGGTCCATACAGTGACAGTCAATAGGGTTTAGTGCAGAATATTTTCTTTTGTGTTCTGCAGATAAAAAAAAGGTTTAAATGAATGCAGAATTTTAATTTTTAGGGGAACTGTTCCTTTAAATACATCTGTCAATGCAAGCTCTGTGGACTGGATGTGTGACATACTGCATAACTAATATGAATTTCACATTTCAGTCTTTAAATTATGCAATAGACTTTTCCCACAGACGTAATAAGAAAGCATTACTTGCACACACATTCTCTTTTGTTTTTCCAAACTGAAGACCAAGTTATTTAACTACAGTATCAACTGTTGTTACAGTATGTCATAGATTCTCACAAAGATGCTTGAAAATTAGTTCAAAATTCAAAGGTTGATGAAAAGAACCAAATCCAGTTTTTGTTCAGTGGCAGTTAATTTAACATGTAGTAAATTGATTGCAATACTTTTTATTAGTTTACATCTTCCTTTATGTTGGAACCAAATTTATCATTTTTTTAAACTGATCTGACCAAGCAATTACAATAATGGCACTGTCCACAAATTTTTTTTAAGTAAATTATGTATATATATATATTAAAAAAAAGGGACATTGCCTTCAGTCTTGACTAATTTGAAAGAACAGCTCACTCTGAGTATAAGCTGTGCAACTCCAATAGATGTGTAATGTATAAGTGGGTCCAGCAGGGTGCAGCATAGAGTTCAGTTTCTAACATACTCACTGAAGCGGATAGAGGTGCAAAAAAAGAGGCGGGGCAATAGAAGTTAGAGATGGGGTAAAATTCCACTGCAGTGGTTAAGATTTTGAGCGAGTGCTCACATGCACGTGTGCTGGTGGACTGACCAAGCCATCCTCTGTCTTAATATATATATATATATGTGTGTGTGTGTGTTGTTTGCATTGCCCCAGATTG